TTGAGGGTGCTGAGCCAGAAGGAGACACGGAGACAGAAGAAGAGCCAAACATGGACAGAAGAGGGACAGGAGTAAACACTTACACATACTTTGTGCTGCAAGACAAAGACACCAGCACCACCAGCAGCAGCAGCAGCAGCAGCAGCAGCAGCAGCAGCAGCAGCAGCAGCGGCAGTAGATGGGTGTTGCTTCCGGATGCAGTGCCGTCGCAGCTAGCAACAGCAAGAAGAATAAAGAAGGTATTGAGCGGTGATTTAGAGAGAGAGGTTGTCTCCTTTCCTTTATTTAGGGGGAGAGAGAAACACCTACTTCGGTGTTTAATAGCTTTAATATCAGCAGATACATTTCTTTGTCCTTCTGGTTGGATGCAAGCTGGGGAGGAGACAGGAGGAGACGATCCCCAAGGAGACGATCCCGAGTATGAGTTCCCCAACACCCCACAAACCCTAGCAGATGTGGGGTCTTGGTGTCACTGGAGACACTATATAACAAAAGGGGGAGTAACATATTACCCAGATATAGATGAAGATGATGAGCAGCAGCAGCAGCAGCAGCAGCAGCAGCAGCAGCAGCAAGACCCTGTATTAGAGTTGACGAGAGCAGCAGCAGATGATCCCCCAGTAGCTGAAAATATACCTGCTTGGGGTGTACATACAGCTGGAGACACATCAACATATAAAGAAAAAAATAATAGTGTGATATGTATAAATTCTTTTCTATGGCCAGGAGCATCTACACTATATAATAATAAAACTTTTTTCTCTATCTATTGCGGTCTAGCTATCCCTAATTATATTCATTCTTTTTATCCTATTGCCCCTAACGATATACAAATAGAACCAAAAGAAAAACAAGAAACACCAGAACCACAACCAGGAGACGAAGAACTCTCCGATGGAGCCAGCCATGATGAGGAGGAGACAGAACAGCAACACAGCGAAGAAGAAGCAGAAGAAGAAGGAGAAGAAGAGACAGAATAAATTTATAAAAAAAATATTTTATTTTGTTTTTATTTTATTTGTTATATTTGGTTTAGTAAGACACGATGAGGAGGAGACAGAACAGCAACACAGCGAAGAAGAAGCAGAAGAAGAAGAAGAAGAAGAAGGAGAAGAAGAGACAGAATAATATTTATTTTATTTTATTTTATTTTATTGTATTTTATTTTATTTTGTTTTTATTTTATTTGTTGTATTTAGTCTATTAAGCCACGATGAAGAGGAGACACAGCAGCAACACAGCGAAGAAGAAGAAGAGACAGAATAAAAATAAAATAATATAAAAATATAAATTATAATATAATAGAAATTAAATAATAATTATATTATAATTATATTATATTATATTTTATTTTATTTTATTTTATTTTATTTTATTTTATTTTATTATTGTAATGTAAATAATATATCATTTATTTTATATTATTAAGTAGAGACGAAGAGGGGACAAAGAAACATAAAAACAAAGAAAAAAGAAAAAAAGAAAAAAAGAAAAAAAAAAATGAAAAAAAGGAAAAGACAAATAAGAAAAAGAAGAAAAAGAAAAAGAAAAAGATGAGGCAAAGGAGTAGATAGTATTATACTAAATATAATATAATATATATATTATATAATATATATTATATATAATATATATATTATATAATATATATTATATATAATATATATATTATATATATTATATATATTATTTATTATATTTTATATAGAAACGGTGGAGAAAAAAACAAAGAACAAGAAGGAGAGAAACAACAAAAAAAAAAATAAATAAATAAATAAATAAATAAATAACAACAAATATAAACAAACGATCCACATCCTAAACCCTAGACCCTAAACCCTAAACCCTAAACCCTAAACCCTCACAAAGCCACAGAGGCAGTTACTCGCTTGAGCTGTCTAAACAGCCAGGAGTGACGAATCAGCAGCAGGCCACTGAGCTGCTGCTGCTGCTGCTGCTGCTGTTGCTGCTGCTGCTGCTGCTGCTGCTGCTGCTGCTGCAACGGCAGCAACAGCAACAGCAGCAACAGCAGCAGCATAAAGCTGAGCAATAAATTCTTTGGCAGCAATATATATATATATATATATATATATATATATATATATATATATATATATATATATATATATAT